AATGAGCATTCATAAAATTTTAATGAGCATCAGACCTATTATGTTGTGTATTAGGAGTCTAATTATTTTGAAATATACATTGATATTGTTGGGTGTGTTTCGGAAAAAACGAAGACCTCGAGGTTCCATATTTAATGCATATCGCACGTGCACACGAGTCGCGGTTTTTCTTCTCCGTTTCGGGATTTCATCGGCACCCCCCCCCCCCCCCCCCCCCCATGCGCGTAAGAGAGAGCCTTTACCTTTAGGAATCTTAACTCTTTAAAAGAGGTTTCCCTTTATAAGGGGGTGAAAATCCCTTGAGTTTTCCAGGGTGGGATAAAACACACTAGAAACCCATCATTTTCCCAGTTTTTCCATTTCAACGAGTGAACTTCGAGAATCAATTTCTCATTCACCCGTTATCCGTTTTGAGCGTATCATATATCGAATTGTAGCCCTTAACAAGGACAATCCGAAACCACTTTGACCCGACCCAAATCGGAAGTGGACCCCACTCAAATAATTGCCCCAAAATGACCATTTAATGCAATTTTAACACATTTTCCCAACAGATATAACATTTTAAATTGAGCATAACACCAGTACAAAATGAGCATACTCACTTACCAAATGAGCAATGATAGGGAAATCATAAGATTTGTTAGTTGAGCATCAACACATTTTCATTGAACATCAACCCCCTCTATTGAGTATCTGAAACATGCAATTGGGTATCATTATCTTTGCTCTCGAGTCTATAATCAACTTTCATGTGAATCTAATGTAATATGATAGTTTTGAAATATGCATTGATATGACATTTTAAATGAGCACAAAATCAATATCAGATGAGCATACGTAACGTACAAAATGAGTATTGAAAACTTTAAAAGCTCAGCTCATTTAGAAATCTCAAATGTGTTCAAATATTCAGTTATTTCAATTAGATATTTACAAGTGCAACAAACAATGAGATATTTCATCAAAAGAGGAATAGACCTTCACTCTGTAAATTTTTCAAACAGTTGGCAGACATTCAATTTTTTTTATACAAAAAATAAACAATTTATTTAGAAGAATGTAGAATGCAACTGATTTCATGAAATTCAAATAAGAAACAACAAGAAAATAATAATTGATTTAATTCAATGGAATATAATTAGTACCCTTACTCAGCAATGCTATATATACACACACGGGATTTTGATTTTTGAACATATATACTCTGTCCATTTTATTCCAGCACTAAATACTTAGATAGTAGTGATTGCAGACATTACGGCCGTTTTGTTGAAGGAAGAAATGCAGCAAGTTCACCCATCAATTGAAGAAAAGCAGCTCTGAGATCGGAGAAAAGTTTGCTTCCTCACAGGACTTGATCGCAGGGAGTCCAAGCTCCGCAACAGTAGCTGCTTAACGGTCAATATGAGCTCCTTTGTCGGATTAGGCGGCGGATTCTGAGCTTTGAACTTCAGAGTTCAGACTGCTAGATTAAAGGGGATGAGAAGAGTAAATAAAGTTGAAAGTTAAGCAAAATTACAAAAATACCTCATGTACGGTTCTCACCCGTACATCCGGGTGTATCATATAGGAACTGGTACTCAAGTCTTTCTGAATCCAGGATGTCAAACTCGGGTCGAGTTGGATCAGTCATCTTAAAATATAAAATTGTATAAGTGTTATTCACTATCATTTATCGCTAAAAATGAATACAAAATGTGATTCTTTGTGTGAAAATTCTTTATCACATAAAAAATGTCATGGAGGTATGTCTCTTTGTAGACAATATTTTATAATGCGAAGAGAGGAAATATATATTCATCTCCTTAAAAAAATCATAGAGATTTTTATAGGATGTTATATGGTGTGTTTAATATAGAAAGTATTAATATTGGTCTAATGAATGGATTAGGCATATCTCATTATTTTTTTTTTGAAAAAAATGAATTTAATATTTCTTTTAGTAATATTATATATATATTCGAATTATTGAAAAAAATTGACATATATTTTAATTATAAAAAATGGAGCTAAAAACGAATTTAGTTATCGATTTTTTTAAAAAAAAACAAAATATTTCGAATTTAAATAAATGGAGTTATATTTTGAATTAAAAAAATTGTAAAAACGAATTTAATGATATAGTTGTAATCTAATATGCATATATTTTAAAAAATATTGTGTCGCATATGTTGATTACCGAAAATAATTACATATTTTTTTCATTTGTTTTTTTATTAATTTTGGGAATGAGATTAAATTTTCTAAAAATTGCAAATATATAAATTTTCTTTATATTTCGTTAAAAAAAAAATTGGTGTGAACACATAGTGTCTTTGTAAAGCAAATGTAGAAAAAGGTGTCTTTGTAATTAGTAATGCATGCATATATCATGTATATTACAAGAAACGTAACTGGTCTAAAAAAATGACAAATATGTCTAGAACTATTTGTATGACAATAAATGGATTTTTTATTAGAAAGTAGATTTCTAATTTAGGCTATTTACATGACAAGTAAGAATATGACTGCATGATTGTTATTCCAACTATATGTATATGACATATAGAATTACGAAAATATAAACATGTCATTGTATTTTAAAAAAATGTTTGAAAAAATATGACTACATGAATTCCAGCTATATGAGTACAACATATAGATTTGAGGAAAAATAGACATGTATTTTGCCCTAGAGATAATTTATGAGCATAAAATATAGTAATCTTACGTGATTATGGTTCCAACTTTATGTAAGAGACATATAGCATTACGGAAAAATATAATCACATAATATGTATAAAATAATTTTAAAAAATGCATAGTATGATCTTAATTCCAACTATATGTATTTATCATACAGCTTTACGGAAAGTATAATCATATAACATGCATGAAAATAAGATTAATCGTGTGATCTTTGATTCTAACTATATGTATATGACATATAGCTTTACGGAAAAGTATGATCGCATGGATGTATAAAAACGAAGAATGATGCATAATGTGATATTGATTCCACTTATATGATTATAACAAATAGCATTACGGAATTATAATAAAAAATTGCATCTATCTCTCAAAAAAAAGGATGAGGCATAACACCAAACACTTGTAAGAAATGGATCTCAAAAGAATGACAACTTAATCTCTAAAAAATCAATGATGTTCATCACAAATTCACAATGGTAAAAGGAGAACCAGTTCAACCTCATTCAAACCATGCTCCACAAAAATGTCACACTTTCCACAGCTTGAAGCCATATCGATGAGATCAGGCGTTGGTTCATCATTGAACTGCTCGTGAAGCATCTCTATTAGTTCATTTGGTCTTTTAAAGTACAACCCTTTAATATTACCATTAGTCGTGGACTCAGGCCGAGTCGGGCCTAGGCCCGGTCTGGTCGCCGGTTTGTATGATATGGGCCCGGGACTGGCCCGAGGGTTGGACGGGTCCGGTTCGGGCCGGGCCACCCGCCCGGGTCACGGGTCGGGTCCGGTTCGGGCCGGGCCGGTTAAAGTTTTTTTTTTTATAATTTATATTTTATAGTTTATAGTTTTATACGAGTATTAAAAACAATCTTCAAGTGCATTTATTTGAAATGAAATAGGAACTACATTTGAAAATTAAAACAAACTTTAAGAGACAAACATTTTGAAAATTGTAATCAATCGGAACTTCCCGCACCTCCCGATCTTTTGGCTTTGTCACATGACTTCATATGCTTGATTGACATCCCGTATCCGCCTGAAACCCCCATGCTACATTTTTTCTCGCACCATTTGCAAGTTGCGTACCACATCCCGGTCTTCGGGTCCTTCTGCTTATCAAAATTATACCGTATAATGGCATCTTGATTTTCCATCTTAACTTCTTAAGTATAAACTATAAAGTAGATATATAAATAATAAATATAATATATTGGAGAATAAGAGAATTAGAGAGTAGAGAGTTAAGAATAGGATTTAGGAAGAATTGGAGAAGAGATATGAAAAAATGTTTAAGATTAGGAGTATTTATAGGTTTTTTTATCCCCACCCCCACCACCACCCCCACCACCCAACCCCCCCGGAACCCCCCCCCCCAAGACCCACCCAACGGCTATGTAGCCGTTTGGGTTGTCCCCAGCCCACCCATAACGGCTAGTAGCCATTTTAATTTTTTTTTTTAAATATAACCGTTGGACCCGGACCCGGGCCCGACCCGGCCCGGCCGGGTCGTATTTTTCCGGAACCGTGCCCGCCCCGCCCATTCCCACCGGTTCGGGTCTACACCCGGTCCCGGACCGCCCGACCGGGCCGGTCCCGGGCCCGCACAGTACCGGGCCGGGTTGGGTCACGGGCCGGGTGGCCCGAACCGAATCCACCCCTAAATTACCATGCTTCTACTTTTTAAATACTCCTTCCGTCCCACTGGCCTTTGCCAACTTTCCTTTTTTGTTTGTCTCAAAAAACTTTGTCACTTTCCTTTTACAGCAATGTTTTTGTGGCTCTGTTCGTTTCTCTCTCCTCTGCATAAACCACAACCACACAATTTTTACTATTCTAATTTCCTATCTAACATCAACTTGGCAAAGTTGAGCGAGACGGAGATAATACTTCATTAAATGAGGGAAGGATATAAAGTAAGGATCCATTGGAATGCATTCCACTTTACCACCTATGTACTTACTTTCAGGAATGGTAGCAAAGTTCCCTCCATGACAAATAATGAGTTCCACATTGTCAAACGCTTTGTACACATTACAACACTATGTTTCAATTCAAAGGCCCAAATAGAACACAACAAATTCATCATTGTGTGCATATAGCAAAATTCAATGCACACATGTACAATGAATAATAAACTCCAATAAGCTCTAGATGTTCATGTAATATGGTTCGATCTGTAATAATCTCCAATAATACAGAACATAACGTATTAATGTTACCTCCAACTACATACCATTTGGAAACCAATTTAAGAGGATAAAATCTAATGAATAGAAAAAAAGATAATAAAAGAGAATCGGCTTCACCAGACTTCAGAAGATCGATGGGGATGCTTGAGGAAATGATGGAGACAGACGGGGAACGGAGAAGATTCGAGGAGGGGTAAGTTTGCATATGTATATGAAATAGGGTATAAAATCTTCTATTATACAAAGCCAAAAGAAAAAATGAACAGTGTTCCCGCCCAAATGAAATGCACTGTTGGGTCGGGTCGGGTCACAATGGGTGCACAAACGGGTCCTGGGCAGGCCCACTGATGCTCTTTAATGCTTGCCACTAAAATAGTACAGAGCCACACAAACATTTAATGTGAAATCTGATGTGATGATTAAAACATGAAGTAAATTGTACTTCAAATCTTAGAAGTAAACCTTGAGCCACACAAACATTTAATGCATTGTACAATCTTGGCATAACAATATTAATTTAGACATTGTACTTGATAGTTCTGAACAATAAATGGAGCCACACAAACATTCTTGAGCCTCACAACAATAAATGCAATGTACTACATAATCTCAATGTAAAAATTGAGTGGGTATTTGTACTTGATAGTTCTGAATTGGAGCCACCCAAACATTTCTTGAGCCTCACAAACAATAAATGCAATGTACTACATAATCTCAATGTAAAGATTGAGTGGGTATTTTTAACCCTTGGTTAACCCAATTGATTCACCTTATAATTAATGCATTGTACTACAAATCTTAATATTGAGATTGTGTGGTATTTTCAACCTAGGTTATTCTCTCCTTTATCCAATATAAATACCCAAGCAGGGGATGACCACAACATACCACAAACCAGTATTCAGCAGCTGTATTTTTAAGTTCAAAAGTTCAAAATCAGTGCAATGGCAACCGCTTCATCAGCACAAGGGATGTGGTCCTTGCTCAAGGATATCGATCACACAAAGACGACCTGGGCAATCAAGGTTCGGGTAGTTAGGGCATACGAAGTTCCTCCACACTCTAAGGGCGGGGAGACTCTTGAAATGGTTTTGCATGACGCAGAGGTATGGTTTGTAACATCTAACTTCTATGGCGTCTTTTGCTCAACTTTTCTTAATCCAATGTAAATTCTTACTAGGGAGATCGGATTCACGCCATTATCAAGAGGCCGCAGATAGCAATGTATAAGCCTAATATTACAGAGAACAAAATTTATGCCATAAGAAACTTTTTGGTGCTTGACAATTACCAAACAGTGAAGACTACCAGTCATCCCTACATAATTCAGTTCATCTCAAAAACCCTGTTGAGGGAAGATACGAAGACGGAAATGCCTATGATGGTCTATGATTTTCAGCCTTTTGATATGCTGCATGCCCAAAGAGTTATCAACGACAAAACTCTAATTGGTGAGTTAGAGTCAAATTTTTCCATACTACATTGCTTGCACAAATATCCTAATTACAGTTTCTATCATTTAATTATGAAGATGTCATTAGGAAGGTTCTTTCCAAGAGCCTTATCCAGACCCACATAATCAATGGGAGGACTGATAGGCTAATGGAGTTGACTTTGACAGACCCGGAGTAAGTTTTACAACTTAAACGATTTTAGCAAAACAAAAGACACATGCTCATTGAATGAAACTTTTCTAAACTACAGGGGTAACAGATTGGGCGCCGTATTGTGGAACAAGTACATAAACCAGTATCTGGATTATGTTAATGCTAATGAAGGAGTGCCTGTCTTCGTGATATTTCAACTATGTAGGCCAAAAAGATACCAAGGTTTGAGAAACTTAGCAGCACTCATTATGTAGTACACAGTAGCCAAAGCTTATGGTAGTGCTGTTTTAAACACAGGGATCTTGATAGTGAATTCGTCTTTTGATGTATCAAAGCTCATAATCAACGGGAACACTACTGAGTTTTTAGAGTTCCAAAGCGAGTATGCGTATTAAATCTCCTAAAACTAAACTCTGACTTCCCAATTTCATAAAAAAATCTCCTAAAACTCAAGTATCCTAGAACTAAAGTCTGTTTACCATGCAATATACAGGTTTCCAGCAGATGGTGATGACACCACGACTCAAACCTGCAACACGCAATGCTCACATGCGGAAGGGAGGGATGATATACTCGGTGGAAATGCTGTCATTACCACCATGGAGGATTTGATGAAGGCAACTGAGGTGTGTCCTGAAGCTAGAGTCATAGATTTCGCATTTTGAATAAATATATCCACTGCTAATAAGAAAATTATACTTGGATAGGAGAATGTTTATTGGGTACTTGCTGAGATAGTTTCTATAGAAAACTATCGAGAATGGTGCTACCTAAGTTGCCCAACATGCCACAAAAAATTGCAACCAGAAGAGGAACGGTTTAGGTGTACAACTTGCAGCATGTCAATGGCAGAAGGAGTTTATCGGTTCATTACTTAACCTAATGTGCTTTTATGGGTGTAGGATGTTCACGTTTTTATTTTAGTAATAAAAATTGTTACTCTGATGATTCAGCTACAAGGTCAGTGTGTGTATTATGGACAACACAGGGTATGGAAACTTCATGTTATGGGACAGGGAATCACTAGTACAAAATATGCATTCTATAACAGACATTTAATATGGGTTAAAATTAAACTGTTATGATATGTTAATGCGGGGTCAAATTCATAAATAATGAAAACTTATTTTGGACGATGGGGTCAAAATTATAAAATGTAAAAGTTTATCTGTAACGGTTATAAGCTAACCCGCTATGGAATAGAGAAACGGGGTAAAATTCGTAATTTTTGAAAAATCAATCGTGATAGGTGTAGTCATTTTTAAAATTCCGAAATTTGTTTTCCATGTCAGTTCCTTTATTAACCCTTATAGAATGTATATATCTAAAATTTTAAACCTAAAGCCTTTTTTTGGAAGGACTTCATCACTTCATCAAAAGGGAAAAGGTCTGCCGCTCTGCCTCTAAGACGACGCACAGCTCCACCGCCCCACTGCTCCAACCCGATGCATCGCTCCGCCACTCCAAGATGGCACACCTCACAGACGCTCTGCCGCTCCTAGGCTATAGAATCGCCGCTCCCACATCGACTATAGGAATCGCCGCTTCGCCACTTCTAGATGGCACACCTGTTCATCGCTCTTGATGCCGCATACACTCCGCCGCTCCTACAACAGGTCTCGCGCTCTCCACTGCTCCTCCATTGTTTTCTACAGCTCGTTAACTTGCTCGATCTCCACCGCAAAAGACATTTGTTCCATCCCATCTCGGTAAAAATGCTTTTTTCCAAACTAAATATTCATTTATTGTTTCTTTTGGTGTTCGGTTTATGTATATCTTTTGCTCAGTAATGCAATTTTATTTAATTGTGATTAAGCAAGAAGAATTTCAATTATGTTTTTTTATATTTCTAGTGTGTAGTAACTGTTTGTAAAAAAGTCTCAATAGCATTTTCAAATGAGTGTGCTTACACAAGTGTGATGTTCTATAGAAAAAATGTTACTTTTCCCTTCTATCTATTTTGATGTTGATGAACTCTTAATTGATCAAGTGTCTTAATTTTGCGAAATGCTTTCAATCATCTAAGATATTTTTAATAAGTAAACTGAAGTGGAGTTTAAAATTGAAAGTAAAACTATCATTTCTTTTCATTTCAACCAACAAAGAACCCCCCTCACTATGTTTTCTTAATCTACCCATTTAGTCAACTGAGGTCTCTTTCAGTATCTTGAGTTTAACAAATTATGTGTCTCAATCAGGAATGAGAATTTACAGAATATTTTTCTTTTCATTAAATTGAGCAAATTCGACAAGCTGAGCCAAGTAACCTCTTACAATATAAGCTTAAAGTTGGTGTGTGCTTGTTCAGTGTATTACATGGAATCTAGGAGACTGATAAGAACAGTCATGCAACAAAACTGGTGCAAATTATCAAGCAGTGTAGAAAATATTTGCAAATGTAAGAAACTCATTTGCTTACATCTTCAAGATCTTTTAGGTGAGCGCTTGGTTATACATTTAATTTCCTAACCTGTTGATTTTTTCCATTAGTGAGTGCTGCTTGAGGTATTTGTCAAGTAATGTAAAGTTCTTTCTGGGTATTTTTTTTCTTAACTTAGATGGTTGGAATGTTTTCTCAAGTACCGTACCGAATTTTTCTTACCTCAGGTAAGTTCTTTCTGGGGTATTTTTCTGTAATAGTGCAGAAATTTTTATTCTTACATGTTTTCTCACTATTTTTCAAGTAACCTTCTCGATATTTTTTTCTTAACTCAGGTAAGTTCTTTCTGGGTATCATACCGTACCGAATTTTTCGGTATACCGAAAAGTTCGATAAAATCGGTATTTTTGAGTACGGTATGGTCGGTATACCGAAATTTCGGTATATTTTCCCACCTCTACCTATACGTGTTCTAGATGGGGCTATCCCTTCCTGGAGCTGGATTCGGCTTGTGAGGAAGTATGTTGCTTCAGAAACTGTTTGGTGCATGAAACTAATAATTGGCATCACTTTTGTCTTCCAAGTTTTGATGAAGTCTTTGACTTCTGACATAGAATCTGTCTATAACCAGATATAGTCGATTGACATGTTATTTCTATTATGTTAGTCTTTCAATTCTTATAACATCTCGATCTGTCTGACATGCACAAAAAGGTTTCTAGACTGTGCTTGGGCATATTCTTAAGGACATAATGCCTTTAAGTGGTATATAATTGCTTATGTTTCATTTAAAAGCGTTTGCAGTGCTTTCAAGATTAACAGAGCACTTTTAATGCTTACTTAAGAAAACATCAGGATTGTGCGTCATCCAGGAAGCACTTAAGGTGCTCAAACGAGAAAGTACTGATGATAAATCACTTGTATCTAAGTTATCCTAAATGGGCCCAGACTCCTAGTCCATTGTGATTACTGATTGAGCAATTTTTCATATTTGATGGGATGGCCACTCAACCATAATGTATCACATCAGGGATTTTCTTCTTCTTGAAACTAGGACCTGTAGAACTCTACTATGGTCTTTTTCTTTTTATATTTATGTGGTGATGTTTGTGATATTCTTTGTATTAGGAAGCTAACATGATGGTGAGAGCTCCAAAGAAGAGAATGGTGGAAGATCTAGAAGCACTGCTTAATGCATCGAACCCAAGTTTGACTTCCTAGAACGACTACCGGAGTATTACCTTGTCTTTAACTTCAATGCTGGTAAGATTATACAGGTTTAAGGTCTTAGCTTAAGGGAACCCCACAAGATTATACAGGTTTAAGATTATACCTGGCCGTTACTATGATAGCAAAGGGAACCCCACAAAATTTTTAAGAGGAGCTAACAGATTAAATTGTTGCTGAGTTTAAATTTCAATCTTTGAATTGTAAATAATCCATTCTTACCAAGCGTTTCATGATTGTCCATTACCTGTTTGTCCATTACTAATTGTTGAAAAAGTTGTATTAGGGAGTTCCTGGATCCATTTTCTGAAATTGAAAGTTTAAAAAATGGAATTTCCCATATTAATATTGTCACTCACTCCACATATGCTAACAAAAAAACCTTCTGGTCCCCCCAAATAGCATGCGTTCATGTTTAGAAGACATACTTATTTTACACCCCATATTACAATGAACATACACGTTGATTATAGTGGTCTTACAGTGAACATACTCAAACCTTTTTTTCAACATTTATAAGTCTATAGCGGTTTGAGTTCAAGGATTTTATTTATGGAAACAGTTAATTTCTTACATAGTGTGTGTCATCTCCATTTGCAGTGCCAAACAATTGAAAGATATTGAGTTCAAGTGGGTATGAATGTTTATACCTGTATCAAGAGGAGACATATAATTGGAGAAGAAGCTGAAGTATGAATGTTTAAACCCGTATAGAAATATAAAATGAATGTTTATCATGCCTTTGAGAGTATCTTATGATCCTTTGTTATGAATTACTATATAGCCTATAGGAAAGAAGGTTGCTCACACATTGGGCCCGAGCATTGGAATTACAGTATGCATTGGGGAACTTCTAGAAGAAAGAAAGGCTAGAAACACCTTTGATTTTGTTTCCAACAATTGAAGGCTTTTGCAGGTTAGACTTGGGAGTGTTTTCCATGGCTAAAGTACTGCATCTTCATAACTAAAGTACTTCGAAACTAAAAGCATATATTAAGGGAGGGGTGTTTAAAGCTGTATTTCACCTTTTTAAAATTTTATTGTGAAATTTCATCCATATGATATAGTGATATACCTTTTTTTTACCAAAATCCCTAACTTCTACTTTTCAAAAATTAGATTAAAGCTGCATTTCACCTTTTTTTTACCTCTTGGTACTCGTTGTCCAGTTTAGTATTATTGGTATAATTATAATGGTGGGTGAATAATTTTTTCCAAGGATAGGTCGTTGTGCCACCCATGGTACTACAACTTGTGTGTGAACAGATTTGGATCTATTGCTAGCACTTGGCTTTTTGAAAATTTTCTTAATTTCAATGCTGCAGAGTTCCAAACTAAAGGAAAAGAGGTTTCATGGGAAAATTGAGTTGCAAGATCTGATTGGCAAAAAAATTGCAAAAGAATTGCAAGAGGG